TTGAAGAGTTCTGTTTTGCTATTTCTTTCTGATGTTTTGAGACATGCTCTTGCTATGTAGTTATGCTGGCCTTGAACTTGTATGAGTCCAGTTTGGTCTTTGGTCTCAAACTTATGATCCTTCTGCCTCAGCTTCTTGAGTGCTTGGATTACAGGCATGTACCACCAGGCCCTACTGCCTAAAAAAGCATTTTTGTTTTGTTTTGGTACCAGGAACTGAACTGATGACCTTGCACTTGCCAGACAGATACTGTGCCGCTGAGCTGTATCCCTGGCCCTGGAAGAGCAGTTTTTAAGGGCAATTGTATTCTACCCTATCATTGCACCATTATTTATTTAAGCAAGTCTTAAAAACAAACAACCCTTCAGGCAATAATTTGATGTTTTTGGTATAATAAGTAATACTGTTGTGAACATCCTTATATACAAATCTTTGTATAGGTTTTTGATTATTTCAAGTAGGACTTCTTTATGTATTTAGTACAGAGTCTGCAGGGTCTCACTACAGAGATCGGACTTGTAGTGATCCTTCCTGTTTTTTAGCCTCCCAAGAGCTGGGATTACATGTGAGTGCCACCATACCCAGTCTCAATTGTAATTTCAGCATGCCCATGCCCTGGGGGCAGAGCCGGCACAGCAGGTAGGGGATCAAATCCCGGCCCCTGCATCTGCCTAAGCAGGGGCTTTAATTTGCTGAGCTATTTGGCTGGCCCTCAAGTAGGACTTCTTGATAATAATAAAAAAAAAAAAAAAAAAAAAAAATCCCTCTTTCCTTTTATGGCAGTGGGGATAGAAACCAGGGCCTCATCAATACTAGCCAAGTACCCTACCATTGCGCTACAAGCCCAGCCCTTAGGGGGCTTTTAATACACAATGCCAAACATATAATGTGCTCAGTTCCCTACTTTGTGACCCAAAACCTCCCTCCTACTCCTGACCACTACTGGTAGGAACACAATGGTGAAGGTTTTGCAGCAGGGAGGACTTCTGCTTTGAAAGCCTACCATAGGACTACCAGCCAGGACTCAAGCAGAGCAATTTGTCTTTTGTCCGTGCCTTGGTGAAGGCAGGGGCAGTGTGTGTCCACTGCTCTCACCCATGCTGTGCCTCACCTAGGAATGCCCATGCCAAGGCATCAATGTCCCTGTCATTAGGCTGGGCTTCCTATCCCTTACCAAATCGCTTGGTGTAGAGCATTTCACCCAGGTTATGGGGGGCGAGGGAGTACACGGCCAGGATGCCTTCATCAGGAAAGCCCCTCTGGCTGCTGGGGATGAAGGCCGCCAGGAGTTGGCCATCTGCAGAGATGTCACAGCTGGCATCATTGTAGATCTTGCAGTTCTGTACCAGCACATTCACAGAAGCTGCATTGGACAAAGAAAGAAAAAATAAGAAAGTCTGTAGTTAGTAACTAAAAATTTTGGTAACAAGAAACGCTGGGCTTTCCTAAGGGCCTACAACCTCACTAGAAGTGCTACAGGATGTCCTGTCATTCAAACTACAATGCCAGGAAATAGAAACAGCAAGGGCAGGAAAAACATCTGCTCTATTCTGTTAGCAGAAACTACAAGATGAGCCACAACACCACCACTATAGCCACCTGCTAAGTCATGGTTCATACTCAGGAAAAACCACTTGAGAGACAAGAAAAAAGTTGCTGAAAATTTTCCTGGAAAGCCACTCAACAGCTGTTAGTATCCAAAGGATTGAAACAGAGATGAATGACAACACAAACCCACTGGTTCCAAGAACTTTAAAGGGATATAGAGAGGGGTTTCCTGGGATAGAAATATTATTCAGGGCTGGTGAGATGGCTCAGTGGTCTAAAGCACCTACTTAGAACAAGCTAGGCTAAGCAAAGCACAGGGACCGCGGTTCAATCCCCCAGCACCACATGCCAGCCAGCCCCGCCCCCCTGGTGGGCTGAGCTGGCCACACACACACACACACACACACACACACACACAAAATAAATAAAGAAAAAAAAAGTATTATTCAATTCTTATAATGTCATCTGAGAACTGTACACAAATTTGTGTCTTTCTCTTTGCTAACACTAATCCCCATCTTTACAAAGAGAGGATAAAGAGAAAGTCCATCTCTGGCTGGAGGGCTGGGGCTCTTCATTTTGCACTATGCTGGGTGCCTTCTCTATCTCATGAATCAGTGCGAATGGGCAGCTCTTGTCTCCTCTTAGAGGTTACTGGGAATAAAGCACAGGGTCAGCCAGCAGGTCAGCCTGCCAGGGGAGTAGGATGGCAGTGAGGAAAACCCACCCCACAGAGATTGAGGAGATGTTAGCCAGCACTGGGAGTACATTTGCTTACCTGGCTTTGCTTCTGAACCCAAATAGCTGTATAACTCCCTGTCAGAGAAACTGGCTCATTATTCTTTCTTTCTTTTTCTTCCCTCCCTCCCTCCCTCCTCCCCTCCCCCTCCCCCTGCCTTGCCTTGCCTTTCCCTTCCTCTCCCTCCCTCCCTTCCTTTCTTCCAAATGTATTTGGTGCAGGGTCTCATTACACAGCTCAGACTTGTAGTGATTCTCCTGTTCCCAGCCTCCCTAGAGCTGGGATTATAGGTGTGGGCCACCATGCACAGTCTTGGTGGTGGGATCAATACAGGCCAGGGGTGGGGCCTGCTGGGGGCGGGGCCGGCACAGCATGTGGTATGGAGGATCGAACCCCAGTCCCTGCACTTGCCTAAGCAGGAGCTTAATCTGCTATCTCACTGGCCCTGAAACTGGTTCATTATTGATGTAAAGTGGAACAACAGCGCCCACTTCATGGACACGAGTAGATCCAAAGACCACACACATTCAAGGGAACTAAGGTCTTCTAGGACTTTGCCTCAGTTAGATCTACAACAAGCAATTTTTTTTTTTTTTTTTTTTTTAGACAGGGTAGTTCAGGCTGGCCTGGAACTTGCAATACTATTCCTCGGCCTCTTAAGTAGCAGGAATCACAAGTGTGCACCCCCACATATGGCTTTTTCTCTTATATGAAGATGTTCACTGTTGGCATCATGGCAAACAAGCAAGCAAGTCCCTTTGCCTCACTAGATTCTAGCGAGTCCAAAAAGCATAAAGGGCAAGTTTCCCTAAGAAACCAGCAGAAAGAAAACAAAACAAACAATGCTTCTTGAGGTCTTATGGTGTCAGGGACTTAGGGTGATTTCTTTTTGTTTTTGTTTTTTACTTAGGGTAATTTGTAAAACTATATTTATTCCCCTTTCCCTGTGTGCTGCTAACAAAGCTTCAGAGATGACAGAATAGATAAAAAAAGACATCAGAACACATTGATTAGGCTGTTGTGCCAACTCTTGGGGGCTGACACCTACAGTACCATCACACATAAAACTGAGAAGGGACCACAAGGATGGTACTGTTTGCTAACTAATAAAATAATGACATCCAAATACTTGTTGCTATCACCATTAGGCCTCTCTACTGCTCTACTCCCAACTTGCCATCTGTTCTAGCCTGTACAGCTAGATTTATGTAGCTAACATTGGGCCCGTCTGCTCCTGACACAGGGTCCCAAGCCTGTTGCCAAAAATATGACAGTCTACTCCTCCTTCTTTGGATTGACATGATTCCAGTTGGGGACACAAAACTAAAGGAAGCTTACATATCTTTTTTCTGGGTACTGGAAATCAAACTCAGTACTTTTGTGCTTGCCAGGCAGCTACTGTGCCACTGAGCTATAACCCTAGCCCAGGAAGCTTCAAAAATGAGCCCATCTTGGTTTCCTGTTGTTTATTTTTTGAGACAGAGTCTCATTATGCAGTTCAGGCTAACCTTGAACTCACTTGATATCCAAAGCTGGCCTCAAACTCACCATGATTCTCTTACCTCAACACCCCAAGTGCTGGGAGTACAGGCGTGTACCACCATGCCTGGCTCATCAGGGTTTTCTAATGTTGAGGTGAGCACAGCCCTCAGAAAGATGAAGATAAACTAACATCCAGATGGGGTAGAGCACACCTGTAACCACAGTTACTCAGGAGGCTGAGACAGAAAGATCACCAGGTCAGTAACGACAGCACCATGAGACCCTGTCTCAAAATTAAAAGGAGGAAGTAGTTTAGCTCAGTGGCACAACACTTGCCCAAGACGCACAAGGCCCTGGGTTCAATCCTTAGTAATACAACAAGGAAAAAATAAATAAGTTAGCTAATAATTTATATTGTAACCTCCAGAAGTAGGGAAAGAAAAGTAATAAAAATATTAAATAGGACATGAAAATAAACAGGCAATGAGGGTGGGACTCTATGGACTTTAAGACAGCTTTGCATTTACCATTTTACCTACACTTACGGCTCGAAAATGCATAGTGGGTATTTTTTGCTTTTGCACGCTGCTGTTACATATTAATACACATGAGTAAGATCTATATGCTTTGATCAAATATAGACTCTCTACCAACATAAAAAAGCAGCTAATTGGGGTCAGGGAGATGGCGCAGTAGAGTAAGTGCTTGCCTGGTAACTGGTAAGCTCAAGGGCCTGAGTTCAATCCCCAGTTCAAAAAAAAAAAAAAAAGAAGCTAATTTCTTAATGGCATGAGAGGTGGGCATGAAAGTGCAAATGTTTCCTTCTTTTGTAAAGCTTAGCTCAAAGTCCCTAAAAAAAAATAAAAATAAAAAAGTTAACCGTCAGGCAGAGGGAAAAACAGCATTTTGACTTCCTTGACTCCAGGTTGCCGCACTTGTGTATGATGATGGCCATTTCCTGAATTCTGCCCCCTCCTCCACTTCCACCCAGTGTAACAACTGCCCCTGGTTCCTGGACTGAGCAGAAAGAGACAAGCAAATGACAACTGAGAGCAGCACACTCAACTTCAGGAACTTTGCAGCTAGTGATCTAGGGCTGTGCTTCTACTAAGGTAGAGGCACAGAGCAATCCAGCACCGCTACTACAATGAGCACTGAGTGGTGTGGGTTCATTTTTATTTCAGAGCTCCAATTAGCAACTTATACTTGGTGCTTATCTATTAATTTCCCACATGGGGATGCAAATAGTTACAAATGGTGAGTGAATGATCACTACTTCATCCACTAATGCAGCTTCTTCTCTTAAGGCAGATATTTTGAAGAGTTAATTCATACAGCCAGATTTTTTTTTTTTTTTTTTGGGTGAAAACGGGGATTGAACTCAGACCCTTGTGTTTGCCAGTCAAGCGCTTATCCTACTGAGCTCATACAGCCAGATTTTTTTTTTTTTTTTTTGGGTGAAAACGGGGATTGAACTCAGACCCTTGTGCTTGCCAGGCAAGTGCTTATTCTACTGAGCTATCTCCCTGACCCCCAGGCAGAGAATTCTTGACCTCTATTATTTGCTTTCTTGGGTCATAGGAAAAATAATATACCGATGATGTTATGGTTTGTATCTAGATGTACTCCCCAAGCCTCATGGGGTCATAGATAGGGCTTTTTTTAGAGATGGCTAAATCTAGAGTGTATGATGTTGAGATTCAGAGTATGTGATAACTAAACAGTCCACTGATTGGTTTAGGACCACCCTAAACCCAGTGGTCTAGATAGCATATAAAAAGGGAAGAAAAAAAGGTATTATGCTTCCCTGTCCTTGCTTGCTTTTTCTGTCTTATGTTGGCCATGAACTGGTTCTCTTCTGTGATGCTTATCTGCCAAGCTGCTCTGCTTTGGAACCAGCCAACAATGGATTAAACCTCTACAAACTGTGAGCCACAACTAACTCCCCCCTTTAACTTTGGGTATTGGATATTTTGTCTCAACAATAAGAGAAAAGTAATGAAGACAGATGACAAAGGACATTTTTTTTTTTTTTTGGATGCAGCAATAATGTAAGCAATAATGTAAGGGAGAGAGAAAAAAAGTGAAGTGAAATACAGTCTGAGACCCTGATCCTCTTGCTTCATATCATGCTTCCCGAGGCAATTCAAATGACAGCAAGTCAGAGAGTGCTCTGGAGGCCTCATCCAACCTGACAACCTGACAACCTGAGGTGTGATCTAGGACTGTACATTCCTATGAAGTCCCAGAACTCAACAACCTCTTTCTTTCCTTTTTTTTTTTTTAATTT